GGCTAACAATAAAAACAACATATAACATGACAAAACAAACAATACAATAACAGTCATCCAGGGGTCAGATTTTATAAACCCCAGGCCTGCCGGAAAAGCCAGGTCTTAAGCAGCTTGCGGAAAACCAACAGGGTGGGAGCGGTCCTAATCTCCGGGGAGAGCTGGTTCCAAGACGTGGGCGCCATCACAGAGAAAGCCCTCCTCCGCGGCCCCGCCAAATAGCACTGCTTGGCCGACGGGGCCTGAAGGAGGCCCAGCCTGTAGGATCTAACCGGACGAAGGGAACTATGAGGTAGTAGGCGGTCTCGCAAATAGCCTGGCCCTGAGCCATATAGGGCTTTAAAGGTAATGACCAACACCTTGAATTGGGCCCAGAGACCAATAGGCAACCAGTGCAGCTCACGGAGGATAGGTGTAACGTGGGTGTACCGAGGAGCACCCACTATCACTCGCGCGGCTGCATTCTGGACCAACTGTAGTCTCCGACTACTTTTCAAGGGTAGCCCCATGTAGAGCGCGTTGCAGTAGTCCATACTTATAATAATACTTATAATAATACTTATCTTGGGACCAGCTTGCCAGGAAAATTGCCCAACTTCCTCTCTGCAATCATTAAAGATGTCAGTAAAGATGTATTTGCACAAAATGCAAAAAGGTTGAGCTAATCATGCTTCAAATACCACTGAATATGCCCAAGACAACATGAAAACCAAGATAAAGTCATAGTTTATTATTTTCCCTCTCTGTTTCCTCTCTGTCCAACATGTGGAATTTACTGGTTTCAAAAGAGCGGCCTTTGTCTTTTAAATGCCGATGGACTGCTGAACGTAGCCCTGATGGTTTTGTTCTCCTATGTTACGCCATGTGTTTATGAAATACTTCTTTTGTTTCCTCAATGTACAAATCTGCACATGGCTCACTGCACTCTGTTGCATATAGCACGTTGCTCAGTTTGTGTCTGGGTGTTTTATCCTTCTGGTGGACAAGCTTCTGCCTTAGTGTATTCGTGGGTTTGAAGTGTGCACGTATGTTCTGTTGATCCTCCTGAGTTTTTCTGATATTCCTGCAACGTGTGGAATGACAACGTTGCTTTGTTAATAATAATAATAATAATAATAATAATAATAATAATAATAATAATAATAACAACAACAACAACAACAATAATACTGTTTGATTTTGTCATTTTCTATGACTTTCTCTATTTTGTGATCCCACCACTTTTTGCTTGCAGGCAGGTGATGTTTTTTGCAGATCTTCCAATTCACCATTGTTGCTGCTTTGTCGTGCCGCTGCTTGTGGTCGGTCTGTCCGGTCTTCTTGCAGCAGCTTGCCAAGTGGTCCACTGTTTCTTCAGCTTCTTTGCATGGGTGGCGCTTGCTGTCTGTTGCTGTCTTCTCAATTTTGACTTTGTATGCATTTGTCCTTGGGGCTTGGTCTTGTGCAGCCGGGGTTGGTCCCTCAGTCTCTTTCTTCAGTTTTCCTGCTCTTGGCCATTGCCGGGTCTTGTTGGTGTCTGCTTTCCCAGCTATTTTTTTGGTGTGTTGGCGATGTGGTGCTTTGTCTTCCCATGCCTCTATTCTGTTCTTCATTTGGTCTGACTGTGCGATGATCCATAATAGTAGTAGTAATAATAATAATAATAATAATAATAATAATAATAATAAAAAGGCATTTGACTCTCTGCCACATGACTGGATAATCAAGTGCCTAGAAATAACAGGAGTCAGTAGAAACATCAGAAAATTTGTGCAAAGATCGATGGCACAATGGAAGACACAGTTGCAGATCAATGGTGAGAGGCTGGGAGAGGTTAATATCAAGAGAGGAATATTTCAAGGAGATTCATTATCACCATTACTATTTGTTATTGCACTGTTTCCTCTGTCAACAATACTGAATAACTCAGGACATGGCTATCAAACATCAAAAACATCTGCCAGACTATCCCACCTCCTTTATATGGATGATCTGAAGCTGTATGGAAAAACATCATCTGAAATAGAATCGCTGCTCAACACTGTCCGTATATATAGCCAAGATATTGTAATGGAGTTTGGCTTGGACAAATGTGCCACACTTACTATCAAACAAGGAAAAATAGTGAAAACTGAAGGAATCAAGATGCCCCACGAAAATAACATTAAGAGTCTGGATGAGGAAGAGTACTACAAATACTTGGGTATCCTTCAAGCTGACAACATCAAGCACACTGAAGTCAAGAAAAAGATTAGAGGTGAATACATCAAGAGAGTGAAGAAGATCTTAAAGTCCAAACTCAATGGAGCAAATACCATAAAGGCAATCAACACCTGGGCAATCCCAGTCATTAGGTACACAGCTGGAATAGTGGACTGGACTCAAGCAGAACTAAAAGCAATGGATAGGCAGACCAGAAAAATAATGACAATGAATCATGCCCTTCATCCACGCAGTGACATTGATAGACTTTATCTACCAAGGCAAATAGGTGGGCGTGGAATGCTACAAGTACATCAGATGGTTGAAGAAGAAAAAATGGCTTTGGAAGAATATCTGAAGAACAATGATGAAGATGCACTGAAATTAGTATATCAGGAAGGCTTACTAACTACTGGAGAGACCAAACTGGCCTACAAGAAAGACCAAATGAAGAACAGAATAGAGGCATGGGAAGACAAAGCACTACATGGCCAATACATGAAAAAAATAGCTGGGAAAGCAGATAATAATAAAACCTGGCAATGGCTAAGAGCAGGAAAATTGAAGAAAGAGACCGAGGGACTAATTCTGGCTGCACAAGACCAAGCCTTAAGGACAAATGCATACAAAGTCAAAATTGAGAAGACAGCAACAGACAGTAAGTGCCGCCTATGCAAAGAAGCTGAAGAAACAGTGGACCACTTGGTAAGCTGTTGCAAGAAGATTGCACAGACTGATTACAAGCAGCGGCATGACAAAGTAGCAACAATGGTGCATTGGAAGATCTGCAAAAAATATCATTTGCCTGTAAGCAAAAACTGGTGGGATCATAAAATAGAGAAAGTCATAGAAAATGATAAAATTAAACTGCTCTGGGACTTCAGAATTCAAACAGACAAGCACCTGCAACATAACACCCCAGACTTAACAATTGTCGATAAGAAAGACAAAAAAGTCTGGATAGTGGACGTGGCAGTGCCTGGAGACAGCAGAATAGAAGAGAAAGAACTGGAGAAGATAACAAAATACAAAGACCTACAAATAGAAATAGAAAGACTGTGGCAAAAGCAAGCAAGGGTAGTACCAATAGTCATAGGCTCCTTGGGTGCAATCCCAAAACAACTGGAGCACCACTTGAACACCATTGGCATTGACAAATTCGCTATTAGTCAATTGCAAAAGGCGGCCTTACTAGGAACTGCTTCCATCCTGCGACGATACCTGTAATACCATCAAACATCTACTTCTGCCTATCCCAGGTCCTGGTAAGGACTCGATAGGTAGACAAAATGCCAAATCCAGTCTGAACATCTGGCTGACTGTGCGATGATTGATAATAGTAATACCATCAACATCCACATCTGCCTATCCCAGGTCCTGGGTAAGGACTCGATAGGTAGACAAAATGCCAAATCCAGTTTGAACATCTGGCTGACTGTGCGATGATCCATAATAATAATAATAATAATATAATAATAATAATAATAAATAATAATAATAAAGGCAAATAGGTGGGCGTGGAATGCTACAAGTACATCAGATGATTGAAGAAGAAAAAATGGCTTTGGAAGAATATCTGAAGAACAATGATGAAGATGCACTGAAATTAGTATATCAGGAAGGCTTACTGACTACTGGAGAGACCAAACTGGCCTACAAGAAAGACCAAATGAAGAACAGAATAGAGGCATGGGAGGACAAAGCACTACATGGCCAATACATGAAAAAAATAGCTGGGAAAGCAGACACCAACAAGACCCAGCAATGGCCAAGAGCAGGAAAACTGAAGAAAGAGACCGAGGGACCAAATTTGCTATTAGTCAATTGCAAAAGGCGGCCTTATTAGGAACTGCTTCCATCCTGCGATGATACCTGTAATACCATCAAACATCCACATCTGCCTATCCCAGGTCCTGGGTAAGGACTCGATAGGTAGACAAAATGCCAAATCCAGTCTGAACATCTGGCTGACTGTGCGATGTCCATAATAATAATAATAATAAAGTTGGAAGGGAACTTGGAGGTCATCTAGTCCAACCCCCTGCTCAGGCTCAGGAAACCCTATACCATTTCAGACAAATGGTTGTCCAGTCTCTTCTTAAAAACTTCCAGTGCTGGAGCATTCACCACTTCTGGAGGCAGGTTATTCCACTGGTTAATTGTTCTAAATGTCAGGAAGTTTCTCCTTAGTTCTAGGTTGTTTCTCTCCTTGATTAGTTTCCATCCGTCGCTTCTTGTCCTGCCTTCAGGCGCCTTGGAAAATAGTTTGACACCCTCTTCTTTGGGGCAGCCCCTGAGATACTGGAAGACTGCTATCATGTCCCCCCTCATCCTTCATTAAACTAGACATACCCAATTCCAGCAGCCTTTCCTTATATGCTTGAGCCTCCAGTCCCCTAATCATCTTTGTTGCTCTTCTCTGTACTCTTTCTAGAGTCTAGAGTTTATTGTCCTCTTCGTTGTCTACTATGGAGGAGTTCCTGCTGGGTCTTCTTTGGGGTTTGATGAAGGCCCACTTGGCATAGCCACACGTTCTGAGGGCTTCCTTGATGTGTTTTAGTTCTTCCACCCCCCATCTTTCCTGGTAGGCAGATCTTCAGCTCGGTGGCTAGTAGGGTTCTGATAGCTCCCATTTTGAGTGGGTGGTGTAACTCAAAATGTAAATATTGATCTCTGTGTGGGGGGTGTTTCTGTTCTGTGACCTCATTTACTGGATGCCATCACTTAGGCAGAAATCTGCAAGGAGGAAATAAAAGTTCCTCTTTTGCTCCTTCTGTGGGAGGAAAGACCTAGTGGGCAAGACGCAAAGTCACCCCAGATGTTTCTCCTGCTGCTGTCGGCATGGCTGCCTTGAGGTCCTTCAAGAGAATCCCTGGTCCTCTTCAGCTGCTGCTGCTGCTCTTTCTCCCACAAGATCTGGGTGAGTGTTGACAACTGAGATCAGCCAGGCTCCATTCTCAGATTTACAACAGGAGTAAAACCCAGCGCAAGATGAATGTTAAGGCTGCTTCAAAGCTACTGTGATATTCTGAACAGGGAGACGAGCCGATTTCCCAGCAAAGGCCAGTTCCAGATGTTAGATCTGGAGAGGAGAAGATTTCTTCCATTGCTTCCCATCCCAAGTGACTAGATGAACAAGTGAGAAAGATCGTCAGAGCTTGGATGTTCTGGAGATCAACTGGAACCACCTGGCTTTGATCTGGTCCTTGAAGTGTGGATTTCAGGACATTTGGACCACACATTCAACACCTCGTAGAATCCTATGGCTGGAAGGGACCATGGAGAGCTTCTACTCCCACCCTCAACCCGAGGCAGAAGTCCTCCTACCATCTCAAAAAATGGTTGTCCAATCTTTTCTTGAAAATCTACAGCAATGGAGCATCTATAAAATTCTGTTCCATTGATTAATCCCCTTCTGTAATTAGTATACAGAGAATGGAATGGAATGGAATGGGACAAAACGGGACAGAACAGAATAGAATAATAGAATGACAGAATTGGAAGGAACCTTGGAGGTCTTCTAATCCAACCCCCTGCTCAGGCAGATTGGTTGTCCAATCTCTTATTAAAAACTTCCAATATTGGATCATTCATAACTTCTGGAGGCAAGTTGTTGCACTGATTAATTGTTCTCACTGTCAGGAAATTTCTTCTTCTTCTTCTTCTTCTTCTTCTTCTTCTTCTTCTTCTTCTTCTTCTTCTTCTTCTTCTTCTTCTTCTTCTTCTTCTTCCTTCTCCTCCTCCTCCGCCTCCTCCTCCTCCTCCTCTTCTTCTTCTTCTTCTTCTTCTTCTTCTTCTTCTTCTTCTTCTTCTTCTTCTTCTTCTTCTTCTTCTGCTTCTTCTTCTTCTTCTTCTTCTTCTTCTTCTTCTTCTTCTTCTTCTTCTTCTTCTTCTTCTTCTTCTTCTTCTTCTTCTTTTTCTTCTTCTTCTTCTTCTTCTTCTTCTCCTGTCCTTGGTTAGTTTCAATTCATTGCTTCTTGTCTTCCCTTCAGATGCTTTGGAGAATAACTTGACCCCCTCTTCTTTGGGGCAACCCCTGAGATATTGGAAGAGAGCTAGCTATCCTATCCCCCCTAGTCCTTCTTTTCATTAAATGAGACATACCCAATTCCAGCAACCGTTCCTTATATGTTTTAGCCTCCGGTCTCCTGATCATCTTTGTTGCTCTTCTCTGCACTCTTTCTAGAGTCTCAACCCCTTTTTTATATCGTGGTGACCAAAACTGGATGCAGGATTCCAAGGGTGGCATTACCAAGGCATGATAAAGCAGTATTAACACTTCCTGTAGTCTTGATTCTATCCCTTCTGTTAATGCAGCCTAGCACTGGGTTGGTTTTTTTAGACTGAGGTTCTCTCTGAATTCTGGAACATGTGTTACCTTCACACTCTATTCTCCAACAACTGAAACAAAAAGAAAGACTTTATAACAGTGGTTCTCAACCTGTGGGTCGGGACCCCATTTGGGGTCGAACGACCATTTCATGGGGGTCGCCAAACAATGCAGTCCGCCATTTTTTCCCCCTTTTCCTTAGCTGTGCTACTCCCTTTTATTCTATTGGCTTTTGAAAGCCAATAGAAGAGACTCTCTTGAATAGAGTCTAATTCTATTGGCTTTCAAAAGCCAATAAGAATTGTCCAGGCTGTGTCTGCCCTGCTGAGCCCGCCAAAAGTCCCATTCTGCAAACGGTGCTGCACCAGTTGAGTAGTCCTCGACTTACGACTGGTTGAGTAGTCCTCGGTTTACGACCGGTTGGGGGTCGCGGCATTAAAAAGGTTGAGAACCATTGCTTTATAAAATAGAGAGTGAAGGTAGCACAACTTCTGGAAACCAAGTAGGTGACTCTAAAGTGTTCACTGACTGGGGCAAATGAGCCTGGAGGTGTGTGGTGGGACAAAGGACTGGACAGAAGCCCCCCCCCCATTTAGGCAATAAAGGAGTTTCCAAACCAGGGTGGGCAGGTGAGGGTCATCCAAGGATCAAACACAGATTTCAGCACCAGCATCCAAAACATCTGCCTGGAATGTGCCAGGACCTATTCTAGGTAATCCTCCACTTACAATAATACATTTAGTGACCGTTCAAAGTTACAACGGCACTCAAACAAGTGAGTTATGACTGTTTTTTTCCACAATCATTATGGCATCCCCATGATCACGTGATCAAAATTCAGACGTTGGCAACTGGCATGTACTTGTGACAGTTGCAGTGTCCCGGGCTGATGCGATCCCCTCTTGTGACCAAAGTCAATGGAGAAACCCGAGTCACTTAACAACCCGTGGTACTAATTTAAGAACTGCAGTGACTCCCTCCACAAACACGGCGAGAAATTGGGGCAAATCTCTCTTCACAAATTTCTCGCTTAGCAGCATAAATCAGCAGGATTTTCCTCTCCTGTTCTCCTTAGCTGATCAATGTCTTCTGTGGTTAGTTGGCCGTGCGATTGGTTGTTCCTTTGGCGCTCTACTTAAATTCTGAGCAGCTGATTGGTTCTCTTGTTTATTGGCACTCTGAATGGTCTGGTTTCTTACATATTCATATGCTGAATCTAGGTCAACATGCTTCTTGATTACTCCTTTGGTAGAATTCCAGGCCTCCATAAATTCATGCGTGTGGTGGGTGTTGGCATGCCCGGCGATTTTTGTCCCTTCCCAATCGGATTGGTGTTGTTTAAATAAATCGATGTCCTGGAGATGAGTCTCTCCAATCAAAAGCAGTCTTCTTGCCTCTGAGGAACATCAACTAAACTCTCTCTCTCTCTCTCTCTCTCTCTCTCTCTCGCTCTCTCTCTCTCTCTCTCTCTCTCTCTCTCTCTTTCTTCTCTCTCTCTCTCTCTCTCTGTCTCTCTCTCTCTCTGTCTCTCTCTCTCCCTCTCTCTCTCTCTGCTTTCTCTCTCAGTCAAGCCATTCGAGCTCGTGCTTAGAGGTCCCACGGGAAGAATCACGGCGGGCTCTCCGGCCCCTTTCCAATGCATCGCCAATTACTTCTCCACCAAAGAGATGAAAGTGGCTTGGATAAAAGATGGGAAAGAAATACAGGCTGCCCAGGAGAGCAACTGCCCTTTTGAAGTGAAGGGGGAAAGTTTTTGCTATGCGAAAAGCAGCTTGACAATACCGCTTGGGCAAGGCGACGTGAGGTCACAGCTGACCTGCCAGATCCAACAAAACTCCTTGGAGGTTCCCTTCCAGCGGACCCTTTCACTTGGTGAGGTCCTAAGAGGTGGGTGAGCTCTGGGTTGCAACGAGGGATAAGTGGTGAATGCTCCAACACTGGAAGTTTTTAAGAAGAGACTGGACAGCCCTTTGTCTGAAATGGTATAGGGTTTCCTGCCTGAACAGAGGGTTGGACTAGATGACCTCCAAGTTCCCTTCCAACTTTATTATTATTATTATTTTGGATCATCGCACAGTCAGCCAGATGTTCAGACTGGATTTGGCATTTTGTCTACCTATCGAGTCCTTACCCAGGACCTGGGATAGGCAGATGTGAATGTTTGATGGTATTACAGGTATCGTCGCAGGATGGAAGCAGTTCCTAGTAAGGCCGCCTTTTGCAATTGACTAATAGCGAATTTGTCAATGCCAATGGTGTTCAAGTGGTGCTCCAGTTGTTTTGGGATTGCACCCAAGGAGCCTATGACTATTGGTACTACCCTTGCTTGCTTTTGCCACAGTCTTTCTATTTCTATTTGTAGGTCTTTGTATTTTGTTATCTTCTCCAGTTCTTTCTCTTCTATTCTGCTGTCTCCAGGCACTGCCACGTCCACTATCCAGACTTTTTTGTCTTTCTTATCGACAATTGTTAAGTCTGGGGTGTTATGTTGCAGGTGCTTGTCTGTTTGAATTCTGAAGTCCCAGAGCAGTTTAATTTTATCATTTTCTATGACTTTCTCTATTTTATGATCCCACCAGTTTTTGCTTACAGGCAAATGATATTTTTTGCAGATCTTCCAATGCACCATTGTTGCTACTTTGTCATGCCGCTGCTTGTAATCAGTCTGTGCAATCTTCTTGCAACAGCTTACCAAGTGGTCCACTGTTTCTTCAGCTTCTTTGCATAGGCGGCACTTACTGTCTGTTGCTGTCTTCTCAATTTTGACTTTGTATGCATTTGTCCTTAAGGCTTGGTCTTGTGCAGCCAGAATTAGTCCCGTGGTCTCTTTCTTCAATTTTCCTGCTCTTAGCCATTGCCAGGTCTTATTATTATCTGCTTTCCCAGCTATTTTTTTAACATATTGGCCATGTAGTGCTTTGTCTTCCCATGCCTCTATTCTGTTCTTCATTTGGTCTTTCTTGTAGGCCAGTTTGGTCTCTCCAGTAGTATTATTATTATAATTATATCGATCATCGCACAGTCAGCCAGATGTTCAGACTGGATTTGGCATTTTGTCTACCTATCGAGTCCTTACCCAGGACCTGGGATAGGCAGATGTGGATGTTTGATGGTATTACAGATATCGTCGCAGGATGGAAGCAGTTCCTAATAAGGCTGCCTTTTGCAATTGACTAATAGCGAATTTGTCAATGCCAATGGTGTTCAAGTGGTGCTCCAGTTGTTTTGGGATTGCACCCAAGGAGCCTATGACTATTGGTACTACCCTTGCTTGCTTTTGCCACAGTCTTTCTATTTCTATTTGTAGGTCTTTGTATTTTGTTATCTTCTCCAGTTCTTTCTCTTCTATTCTGCTATCTCCAGGCACTGCCACGTCCACTATCCAGACTTTTTTGTCTTTCTTATCGACAATTGTTAAGTCTGGGGTGTTATGTTGCAGGTGCTTGTCTGTTTGAATTCTGAAGTCCCAGAGCAGTTTAATTTTATCATTTTCTATGACTTTCTCTATTTTATGATCCCACCAGTTTTTGCTTACAGGCAAATGATATTTTTTGCAGATCTTCCAATGCACCATTGTTGCTACTTTGTCATGCCGCTGCTTGTAATCAGTCTGTGCAATCTTCTTGCAACAGCTTACCAAGTGGTCCACTGTTTCTTCAGCTTCTTTGCATAGGCGGCACTTACTATCTGTTGCTGTCTTCTCAATTTTGACTTTGTATGCATTTGTCCTTAAGGCTTGGTCTTGTGCAGCCAGAATTAGTCCCTCGGTCTCTTTCTTCAATTTTCCTGCTCTTAGCCATTGCCAGGTTTTATTGTTATCTGCTTTCCCAGCTATTTTTTTCATGTATTGGCCATGTAGTGCTTTGTCTTCCCATGCCTCTATTCTGTTCTTCATTTGGTCTTTCTTGAAGGCCAGTTTGGTCTCTCCAGTAGTTAGTAAGCCTTCCTGATATACTAATTTCAGTGCATCTTCATCATTGTTCTTCAGATATTCTTCCAAAGCCATTTTTTCTTCTTCAACCATCTGATGTACTTGTAGCATTCCACGCCCACCTATTTGCCTTGGTAGATAAAGTCTATCAATGTCACTGCGTGGATGAAGGGCATGATTCATTGTCATTATTTTTCTGGTCTGCCTATCCATTGCTTTTAGTTCTGCTTGAGTCCAGTCCACTATTCCAGCTGTGTACCTAATGACTGGGATTGCCCAGGTGTTGATTGCCTTTATGGTATTTCCTCCATTGAGTTTGGATTTTAAGATCTTCTTCACTCTCTTGATGTATTCACCTCTAATCTTTTTCTTGACTTCAGTGTGCTTGATGTTGTCAGCTTGAAGGATACCCAAGTATTTGTAGTACTCTTCCTCATCCAGACTCTTAATGTTATTTTCGTGGGGCATCTTGATTCCTTCAGTTTTCATATTTTTCCTTGTTTGATAGTAAGTGTGGCACATTTGTCCAAGCCAAACTCCATTACAATATCTTGGCTATATATACGGACAGTGTTGAGCAGCGATTCTATTTCAGATGATGTTTTTCCATACAGCTTCAGATCATCCATATAAAGGAGGTGGGATAGTCTGGCAGATGTTTTTGATGTTTGATAGCCATGTCCTGAGTTATTCAGTATTGTTGACAGAGGAAACAGTGCAATAACAAATAGTAATGGTGATAATGAATCTCCTTGAAATATTCCTCTCTTGATATTAACCTCTCCCAGCCTCTCACCATTGATCTGCAACTGTTATTATTATTATTATTATTATTATTATTATTATTATTATTATTATTATTATTATTATGCCACAGAGTCTCGACGTGGCAGAGGGCCCTCCGTGGCAGAAGGAAAGCACCAGGAAGAACCAGGTTCTCATCCCACGGAAGCCCACCAAGACCAGCCCCTCTTTCTCAGCCCAAGCTGCCTCCCAGGCCTGTGGGTCTGGGGAGCAGGTCTTTAAAAAGACTTTCCACCTCCAGCTCTTTCCCCAGGGACTTGGGTCAAGTTGAGTAACGCTCCCAAGTAATAATAATAGTAAAGTTGGAAGGGACCTTGGAGGTCATCTAGTCCAACCCCCTGCTCAGGCAGGAAATCTAGTCCAACCCCCTGCTCAGGCAAGAAAAGTGGCGAGATATATTTTAATCCTGATTGTCCTGGAATTGTTTCACTTTGCTTTAGTGGCGTGCTCTGTTTTTTTCCTTTGTATATTTGCTCCGTGATTTTGCACGCTTCCCAGAGTCCCACGATTTGAGTTGGGTGGCCAATACATGCAGTCCTCGACTTACAACCGTTCCTTCAGTGACCGCTCAAAGTTACAACAGCACTGGAAAAAAAAAGGGTTCTGAAAAAAAAAGGGTTCTGGGCTTCCTGCAAAACAAGTTCTGGATTTTTTCACACCAGGGTTGGGTTCAGAGAATCTGTACTTCAGGGATGGCGAACCTTTTAGAGGCCGAGTGCCCAAACTGCAACCCAAAATCCACCTATGCATCGTCGGGTGCCGGGTGGGTGTGGCCCATTGGCTGGGTGTGGCCCATTGGGTGGGTGGGGCCCATTGGCTGGGTGTGGCCCATTGGCTGGGTGTGACCCATTGGTGGGCATGGCCCATTGGGTGGGCATGGCTGCAGTGGTAACGGCAGAGTGGGTGGGACTAAAAAGTTCAATCAATCAATTCCAACTTTGCAAGATCTTTTTTTTTCCCGCGAGAAGTTGAAATTGACTGATTGAACCCCCCCCCCTTTTTTTTTGCACATGGCGGCAGAGGCCTAAAGCGAAAAGGGTTTATAAAACCCAGCTGAAGGCCTAGGACTGGGGCGACACGCACGTGCCCACAGAGAGGGCTCTGAGTGCCGCCTCTGGCACCCGTGCCATAGGTTCGCCACCACTGATCTATTTGTTTCCCCAATGCCACAATGGGAGAGCAGAAAGAAGTTGGTTTCTAGGCTTTTCTGCATGCAGGGCCCGCGAGTCTGAAGCTCTCCTAACTGATCTCTTTGGTTTTCTTTACTCAGTTCCTCCCAAAGTCCGTCTGGAGACCAGCCCTCCTTCCCCTGTCCAGCTGAATGCCCCTGTGATGGTCACTTGCCTCGCAGAAAGTTTTTATCCAGACGATGCAAAAGTGGAATTATTTCCCAAGGATGCCCCTAGCAGAAAAGGAACAGTTGCCCCGAGAATTTCGAATCCCGATGGGACTTTTTCCCTGAAGACCTACCTGGAGATGGTGGCCACCGAAGACAGGAACTCC